TAAGAGATATATTGAGCCTGCTATTAATAGCATATAGTCTATAATGTTAAATTCCACTTTAATTTTTGCATTTAGTTATATAACTAGACGTAAGAAATGGCATTCTTTTGAAATGCTCATTTTAAAAAAGAACAATAGATAATCTGTTATGAGTGATATGACAATCAAGATCAGTCTGAGAATAAAATAATCAGAATCGTTCTACTACGTATAATAATGCCCACTGCTTTATTGATCATGACAATAGACTAATCGACATAACTTTGGCGATTCTTTGAATTATACGCTATCGTGTAGATTGTACTGTGGCTAACACTGAAATATACTTTTGAGCTGACGTCGTTGTATGTTTTTGCTTAAGTTAAGAGGTCTGAGGAATAGATAACTGTTGTATAAGTTAAGCAGTATTCGTGAATTCCGTGTTTGTGTTCAACTCGGCGTCCTAATTTCAATCTCAGTATTATTGCGATAATATAAAAGCTGTGACATCATAACACATCGTTTATTTTAAAGCGAATCAGAAATCAGGGTAATAGGTAAGAGGAGAATGCTGCGATAGCATTATTACGTGTCTGTTTCAATTTCATCTATTCAAAAAGACTTGTGAATCTTTTATTTTGAACATTTTCCAATTATACATGTAAATTAATAATTAAGAACACAATATTCACCGAAGAGACTCTTTTCAACGAATTTATTATCAAGCTCTACAATCGCATATACATTGTTTTTAAGAAATTATATCCGGTGATAAAATCAGATAACAAGTGTGAAAACATGAAATAATAAAAGTAGTATAAAACGTAATTAAAATATTTTTGATTATAATCAAAGTTAGATGTCAAGTAGCAAGACAGCTACTGTCATATATAGAGTGATACATAAGGTGTATAGATGATGGAAAGGAAACCTTATTCATGAACTTGGAATTCAAAGGTGATCAAGTTTCAAATAGGCTCAAAACTCGTCTCTCTAAAGCAGTCAGTAAGACGTTGTTTGCAACGAAATTAAAAATGACGTTCACCAGCCACAAGTTGTTTTCCAGCTCTGTAAAAGGTAAGCACTGCCATCTGGCCGCCTCCATATGCATCTATCGGTTTACATGCTCTTGTGGAGCAAGGTACATTGGTCGTAGCCAGAGGATGCTTTCCGCACGGATACGAGAACATATTCCAGGATGGTTGTACGAAACAGAAAGGTAGTGTATGCGAAGCTCTGTTCTTGAACACCTGATCGACTGCTATCACTCATCCAACCCTGACCATGATCTTAAGATCATCTATGAAATACATGTTAACCTGACGCGTTTTCTTCGTTGTAGACTTCTAAAGACAGTAAAGGCCTTGGCCATTCGTGACTTGAAGCCAGACCCTTGTGTGCAAAAAAAGTATGTAAAATTCCTATTTCTGCCTTGGCCATAGAGGGATAGATATTTATTTATTTAATCAATCTGTTTACCTTTCCCTCATTACTACGATTATTTTGTTATTATTACTATTTTCACGTTGAACTGTCTCAGCTCGTCCAGCTTGTCATTCTAAATCGAAAATTATTATTGTTTACTTTTTTACAATACTGAATTCTATCTTATCAAATTTAACACCATGTTATGTAACATTTTATATTCCCCAAATAATCCTATAATTATGCACCCCTTTCCAACATCTATACACCTTATGAATTATTCTATATGTGACATTAATTGTCTTGCAACTTGACATCTAACTGTGGCTATAATCAAAGACAATTTAATTACATTCCATACTATTATTATTTCATGTTTTCACACCTGTGATCTAATTTTATCACCGGATATAATTTCTTAAAAACAATGTATATGCGATTGTAGAGCTTGATAATAAATTCGTTGAAAAGAGTCTCTTCGGTGAATATTGTTTTCTTAATGGTACTATAGTAATTATTAAATTACTGAAAATTAACAAGGGTTTTGAATAACTGAAAGTTGAAAGAGTGTTTTAAATAAGATTATTAGTTTAGTTTAATACGCTAATGAATTCTAAAGATAAGTGAGACCAAAAGGGCATAGCTGTTTAATTTCTATAACTATAGGAACTTTAACTGATTTCGCCATGAACTAACATCGGTTAGAGAACCATTGGCGAACCTGCAGGGAGTAATGGACAACTGTTTCATCCCAGTTTCGGACTCTTCACGGGACGTGTCCACCGGAGTTCGAACCCAAGACCTTCTGGTTACAAGGCAAGCCCGTAGACCAGTGGGGTACAGAAAGTTGGGTGTGAGAACAAATACTCGCCGATGAAATTAGCTCGTGATGGAGCTGTATATATACCGCGAACTGTTGGAAGTTGGAATTCATAGTTCATTAGATCAAGTCACAGTGGCTGAATGATTTGCGAGCTCACCTTTTAACCAGAAGATCATGGATTTGAATCAAAATGGGGGTGTGTACTGCCTACTCTCAGATTTTCCAATGGTTCTCTAACCTATATGTCGGCTCATGATGGAATCTTGTAACCGGTCAATGAAATCCCCAAAAATCAACACTGGGAAATGATAAAGTCATTATTCGGTAGTAATTTAAATCGTTAATTTCTGTTTCTTAGAAGATTGAAGAGTTAATGGTCTACTCATCCGATAATCTAAGGTATCAGTAGACAGCTTCTTCTGGTTCATTTTGGATAAGATTTTATTTTGATAAATTGTCACGCAGTGTGTTCTACAGTAAGTATTAAGTGATGACCATGTTTCGAGCACAAACTATTGCCACTCATAATCATATCAAGGCACTACTCACACAACGTTTTCCTTCATTTATATACATGGGTGAAATTGACTAGATATTGGAATAAAAATCAATATGTGATAATGTACATTCAGAATTAATAATAATACGAATGTTATTGATCAATTATAATCAGATGGGATATGAGACGTGTGTTTTTATAGTCATAATAAGTTACTTGTTACAATGTTGTGATGTGTTTGAACTGAAATAGAATTTTGAGATTATTTATTATCCTCCTCTGATTTGACCGGCAGCAATAATATCTTCCATATCTCTGGTATTTGCGTTGAGTCACTTCTATTGCATATGTTGTGTTGGGTGCAGACTCAATGAAGCAGGCAGGATTCAGTAATCAGTGTCTATCGCTCTCCGCCTACCTAGATTACTTTTTAGAATTTTAACCCTCTCCCATCCTATTGTGTGTTTGTGCGTTAGTGCGTGAAGTGCAATGTAGTGCTGACCTTTTTTCTAAACTACTTATCTTCTCTCGGGGTCAGCCATTCTTACCTTAGCTTAATTCTTATGTTCTGATAATCTGACTATCCCTGACCTACTAGTTTGACCTATGTAGTTGACCTCACAGTCATTGCAAGGTATTTTGTAAATTACATTATTTTGTCTAATTGGGTCCACTGGGTCTTTTAGCCTACAGAGCTTGTCCCAACCGAGTGAGTTTGTAGGTTTGAATGCCGCATATTTATATAAATGAAAGAAAACAAGTTGTGTGAGTGCCTTGATATGATTATGAGTGGCAATAGTTTGTGCCCGAAACGTCATCAGTTAATATTGCCGTACAACACTGTGTGATTTTGAACAACACATTTAAGCGGACAATAATGTTTTCAATTAGATCTGATCAGGCTTAAGTCCATTATATATATATATATATATATATATATATATATATATAACTTTACAAAAAAAATTCAAATTTAAACCAATCATGGTGTTTTGTCTATAGGGTAATAAGATGGTGAATATAACTGGTGCAATTAGTCAGAATAGTAGTAATGATAATAATAATGATCTTATCAATAATAAGGATGAAAAAGTGAGGCAGTCTGTGATAGCACGAATAATGAAAAACAGCATGATTAAACAAACAAATGTTCAGGTGGAAGTAGTCGATAAAGGCTAGTAAAAATAAATAAACTGATTGAGTAATGTTAGATTGTAAGGGAAGGAAATGAAAGACGTTTATAATGAAGATGGGATAAGATTAAGGGATGGTAGGAAAGGGGTTGAAAATATAAATAAAGGGTGGCGTAGAAGTCTTTCGTTGGTTATGTCTTATTAGGCCACCGGAGGGATAATTGCTGCACGAACTTTTTTTGAATGCATAGTTTAGGTTTAATAGTTCGAATGCCTATCGCCTGAGCTGTGTGCAATAGACGAATACGAAGTCTATTGGAAAGGTTAGGTGGGATACGATGAATTACTTTGAAGGCTCTCGTTTTCTCTACTACATGACCACTATCAATTAAATGTAACAAAATTGAGCTACGGATTGCCTTCGTCTGTCCTTCGCCAAACCACGATGGGAGATGTTCCCTAACACGTTGGCTAAGATGTCTAGTAGTACACCTAACATAACTGTCACCGCAGGTGCAGTTGAATTGATAAATACACATAGATGTGGCAAAACTGTCAAGCTTATCCTTCGTTTGCGTCCCAATCATTCGTCGGCTAGAGAATGATAAACACAGGTATGCTGCGTAAAATATTCTTCGTATATTCTTGAAAAGTGTCTGGAATAAAATCCCACTTGATGAGCCGCCATTCGATTGTAACTTAGTAAATAGAGGTTTCTTACGTTCAGTCAGAGTTTCAGGTTTTTTCTTTGATGTTTTCATTTGTTTCTTTGTGAAACTACCCGGATAGCCCATCTCCGTCAAGGAATCGTGAATATATTCAAATTCTTTTTGTAAGAGGTCATCCATTCATAGCTTTCTTGCTCCGCCCGCAAAACATTTAACAACATTCCTTTTATATTTAATGGGCACGTAACTAAGGAAGTGTGTGATTTATCAAAATAAAATCTTATCCAAAATGGAGTTATGGTCTACCACAGTGCCCAAGTTTTCTATACTTACATCAGTAACTTCTTCTGGTCTTATAAGAAACTTTTATCACCGCTAGTAAAAATCCACGTTAGCCTGTTCAACTTCAGGAAGTAAGGTTTTATAAAACAATCAATAAAATTATTTCAAAAAAATATATAAAACAGCCTTACCTAATAAACCTCTACACATAACATTGTCATTTTGTTTGTGTAATTCAGAAGGCAAGTCACTGTCATCTGAAACCCGTTCAAGCTTGTTATCACCTTGTAACTTTTGAAATGATGGAATGATGTGTGAATTCTTCTTATCCATCAGTAAATTACTGTTAATTGTTATTGTATTGTGCGGACATTTACATCCATAATATGGTCTGAAATGAATTTTATTCAACGCGCAATAAATTAACTCTACAATTTTTAATGAAGATACTAACAGACCGTAATATTCGCATTGTCTAGATTTCACTTAAACGTGTGATTTAGAAATATATATATATATATATATATATATATATATATATATATATATATATATATATATATATCACGGAATATACACATTGGGTGTTGGGAGTTATTAAGGGGAAAGTTGCAGCGAAGAAAATTTTCTTTTCGACGAAGTCATCATTTTAGGCTGCACATTCATGTATTTATATCAAATGGATGGGAAATTTTAATTCCTAATTGTAATTTTTATTAATTTGACCCTTACCCGGAAATTATTCTGGAACTTTCCCACCCACCTATTATAAATACACGAATGTACAGCTGCCTAGTTGATGACTTCGCCGAAAATAAAATTTTCTTCGCTGCAACCGTCATTTTTTAGTTTATATATATTAATGTGTGTGGCCTGATATCGTCTCTTAATACAAATATATATATTTTCAAGTATTGGTTTTGTAGGGATTTTGTTTGATTGCATGGAGGATTTAATCATGAGCTGACATCAGTTAGAGAACCACTGGAAAACCTGGGATTAATGGACAGCTGTTTCGTCCTAGTTTGGGTCTCTTCAGCAGTACGCACCCACGGGGTTCGAACCCAGCTCGCCTTGTAACCGGAAGGTCCTGGGTTTGAACCTTGGCGGTGGGTGCGTACTGCTGAAGAGTCCCAAACTGGGACGAAACAGCTATCCAGTACTCCAGGTTTTCCAGTGGTTCTCTAACTGATGTCAGCTCATGATTAAATCCTCCATGATATATATATATATATTTACATGGATCTATATATTACCATATCACTGGTTTGTATTTGTTCTGTCCTTTATCTTCGTATATAAACGAGCTTAGCCGTTTAGTTTGCAACATATGTCTGCAGCATCTTGTTGGGAATGCATTTCGTGACACGTTAAATCTGTGAAATTTACAGAAGAACTATATTGCCATTAGTGTAGAAGATTCGAATCATGTTCCTCTGTGCTAAGAGAAGTATATTTCAGAGTAGTAAATGTTTGTTTTACTTTTTCAGTCCTGACCCCGACATCCTTATGTTTACCACTTCTGGTTACAATTCATTCCTACATGAGTGTTACAGGACTGGACTACACTGACTATTTGGTCTAGAAATGGGGAGTGAAGTGGTAGAGCACGTTGACCACTTCACTTATTTGGGAAGTACCATCAGCCAGTGTCAACGGGTTGATCTCTGACGAAATCTCAGCACTGATACAGAGGGCTGGTTTTGCATATGCGAGTTTACGCAATCTGTGGCGTAGACGTGATATCCGGCTGGCTATCGACCAAAAAGTGGGTGTGCTGCTCAGCAGTCCCCACCGTCCTCCTTTATGACTGGCTGTGAGACCTGGCCATTGAGAGTGGAAGACATGAAAAGATTAACTGTCTTTGATCATAGGTGCTTGCGCTCTATCTCTTGAGTGAAGTGCTATAATAAGGTGATAAATATTGAGCTTAGGCATCGGTCGAGTGCCAGGCAAGGAAGGGAAATCAATCGACGAGGCTGTGAAATTACATCGACTGAGATGGTTAGGACATGTGTTACAGATGCCTTCCTCGACGGGCACTGTTAGCTGATATAAGGTCAGACTGGAAAAGAGCTAGCGGCGGTTACACTGAAACATGGCCCCATCAGTCAATGAAATCCCCAACAGTCAGTTTACGCCAGTCACATAGGAAGGTGTAGACTACCTGGTTGGGGTCCTCGAAACGTTAAAAAACAATGACGGCTGGATACAATCGGTGATATGGCTCAAAATCTTTCTCATAGCTAGTGCGGATGCATCCATTCCTCGTGACTTATGATTTCAAATGAAACTATATTGTTCTTCGTTATTAATATTCCTTTGTCTCACACCTCTGTTTATTGTCTCTGTTATGCAATTCTCCTACTTTCTTTTCTGCTTTGTGTACTACAAGGAGGGAGTGTGGTGACAAGAACTGCCGCAGATTGGTGCAAAGTTTTGTGTCGAAGACAGACAGACAGAAATGAGTAAATCACATAATTCTAGTATTTGTTCATTCAGTCAGTTCTAGGTAGACTAATTTGGAAGGTATTATTCAATAGAGTAACAATTTATGTAAGAACTGATAACAACTCATATACCCTATTGAAGTGAGAGCTTCAAGAAGATTAGGATTATTTCAATCAACTCTGTCTATGACATCCTCACTTTCACTAAATAATGGACATTTTTGATTTTTTACTGAGAAGGGCGAACTAGTCAAGGTACGGTTGATTAACAGAGTTTGTAGGATGGATCTTATCAGCGACCATTCTCAATTTGCCACTTAGTAATTATATATTCAGCATGTTTGGTGCTGGATAGTCACAGTGCCCAGGAAGCATGCCTCCATCCAATCGGGAGTTCTTTCTCTGCCACATACACTGAGGGGTGAACCATAAATTCGTTAGAAATTATACACAAAGCTGCCAGTATAAATAATGGATATCTCAAAACATTTTACTCTATGTCCATTTACTAACTAGTAGATTACATCAAAATACAAATAAATACACCATTCAGATATTATAAGAATGGAATTAGTTTGGGAAAATGACACATTTTTCAAATACTAATGGCTTCTATAGCTACTACATAGAATTGGCTAATAACGTGTAATTACAAATCTCAGGGAACAAAGTCTCATAGTAGCGCTATAGCCAGACATCTGCTTGATACAGATCATGAAGGGGAAATCGCGAACTCCTTTAAAATTATCAATAGACAAAGCAGCTCGCTACTCATCAAGTTTGCTGAAGCAATTTCTATGAAACGCTTGAAACCAGATTTATGTGTTTAGAAAGAAGCAGTTATTAATCTTTGCTTGCTTATCCTGGTGACTGGATGTCTTTATTGTCTCTTTTATTTGATTACTGAATCTTTCGCTTTAGCTTCCCCCCTTTTGATACAGTGTAATTTTGCTTGTCTCTTGTCTGCATAATTTGAGTACATTGTTACTTAGTTTATTTGTCACTCATCATATTATGCATCCTCATCTTTACTACGTAACTCCTTTACCAATGTATGCATAAATTTACTTTAATTGTTGGATGGTGACTAGCAGTGGAATCCAGGATTACGCACATTTCGTCCTATTTGGGAGTCGTCAGCTGGTGTGCCTACATTTCTCAGTGAGTGATGATGTTTCTACTGAGCCTCAAACCCAGTGCCTATAGTTTCAAACGCCAAAGCCTTATCCACTAGACGAGACATCGTCGAAGCATCTGCACAAGAAGCCGACATGTCAACCTGAGACCGAGCACTTCGGTCCAATCAATCGACGGAAAATCTAAAATTCGGTTAAAATAAATTTACTTTGTTTAAACTTGAACCCCTGTGTACAAACAATATAAGTGTAATTTTCTGAGCATTGTTCACTTAGTCTGGAATCTCCTGTAAACAGACATCATGTGATAATTGCAAGTATGTTAAAACGTTTCTGTACATACATTTCACAGTAATTTATTTAGCCTGTAGGCAGCCGTTGATGCGAAACCAATGACGGTAGAAACAATAATGGTAGCATATTATTCTGCACACACCACTCTTGTTCTTGCTTTATTCAAAATTTCAAATGCATTGTTTATATGGCTGAATGTTATCAGAGCCTTAATAAATTTAAAACCGCCTCAGATTTTCTAACATAATATATTATATTATTTATATTATCCTCTTGGGTTCTCGTGAAGATTACGGCTTCAGTAGGACATCTCCGCTTTCTACTATTCTATGAGATTCTCTGAAGCCAGATCTATGATTGGCCATAGTGACTGGTCGCCTCTTAGCACGATCTCCTGTATGTCACACTTGGAAACACATCCAACGCGTTATTTATATTTTAGGTTCCATTCGAGAGATCGCCTTGCTAGGGATTTCATTCAACGGTCTACTCAGCGTGTGTCAGATCCAGAATTATTTTTTTCCGTATATTTGTTGAGCAGCAGGTTCATGGTTGGTTCTGTCCTAGAGTTTCTTCTTGCTAATTCTTTCTGGTCAGTCGGACGGTCGGCCGGCTGGCTTGCCATTTAATCTTCAGTATGGAGCCAGCCAGCAAAGAGGCAGCTGTTGATAAAATCCTTCAGTGGCCTGTCGAAAATCCTTTATGTGACGTGCTCTTCCCGTTTCTGATGCATATCAAGGTAGGGACTTAATAACGATGTGGAAAATCTTAATTTGTAAACTCTACTAAGGCAAGTTATCATCCTTGACTTAAGCAAGATAGGAGACACATCAGTGAATATGATTCATAATTCGCTTACTTTTCGTTTTGTCTGTTTGGTTGTATTGATGATTTATGATGCATAACTGCCATTTCATCTTCAAGTAAGTAACAAACTCCATGGTAACTTTTACAATTCATACAAAAATTGTTTGAAGACTGATTGATATAGACTCCTAGAAATGAAAAAGAAGACTCTAAGAAGATCCAATATTTTTTGAAAAATAAACCCACCAAGAACACACTGAAACATTGAATTCAAATGCCCCCAGGTTAAACTGATGGTATCAGATTGATTTTGGAGAAAGGAATGACAATTGCTGCGATATATATATATATATATATATATATATTCAGAAGTCATAATTCCCATGTTTATATTGCTTATCAATCAATTTTGATGTAGTTAGATTTCAGAAATTGCAGATAATGAACAGACATAAAGTTCCTTTACAGTGTGGTAATATAAATTAACAAAGTGTTAGCGGATTATGCTACTTCCTAACTTTCTTTTTCGACAGAGGCGGGTAGGAGGTAACAGCCTACGGGCTGATATATGTCCTGCCGGGTATTGTCTCAGATTCAATTTTTTATTGATTAACTCCATACAAATTTACATTTAACCAGTCTGATATATTAGACGGGTCCAGGCTATCAGCAGGAAGCTCTAGATCTAAGGTTTGTGCTTGTTGGCAGTTGTCAGCAAGGTGTGTCTGAAATCTTTAAGGAACTCGTGGTCATTTCTGAGATTGAACACACGTCATAGTGTCGATTGACGCGATCACAGACGTTATCACTGAGCTATTCAAGCCTCCAGGGGTGAAGAAAAGATGAAAAAATGTGGGCGGACTTAGAGAGGGGTGCAAAAATTGGCAGGAAACGAAAGGCAATGGAGATGCGTAGCTGAAGCCCTATGCTCCTCTAGGAATTAAAGGATACAATAAAGCCGTTTAATACCTATTCATAGTGTACTGTGGTGACGAGTACAAACTTGACGAAGAGAATCGATAAATTTCCATAAAGAAAGGAAGACGAAATTCGCAGTATAAAATGATATTATCATTCTATTTCACAGGTTCTCATCAGCTGCAGACTACCTTAGATTACAATGTTTATATAGATGATAATAACACACTTTATTGTTTGAGTGGTAGTAGAAAAGACATACTATAAAGTTGACACATCTAAAATGGAAGCGTTACAATTTCTAGTTTAAGATTTCATCATCAATTTTTACGCTTTCAAAGTTGAAAAGAGGGAGGAGGGGTAAGACAGAAAACAGAAAAAATTAGTTAACAGAACAGTGTTAGCTTGTTCACATACAACTCCAAAAAATAAAAGCGGTCACAGTTTATAAGATGAAGATTTGTTCAGTTATCTTAACTCACCCCCAGCTCACCACCCAAATATTAAATGATATTATTATCATCTATATAAGCATTGTAATCTAAGGTAGTCTGCAGCTGATGAGAACCTGTGAAATAGAATGATAATATCATTTTATACTGCGAATTTCGTCTTCCTTTCTTTATGGAAATTTATCGATTCTCTTCGTCAAGTTTGTACTCGTCACCACAGTACACTATGAATTGGTATCAAACTGCTGGAGGTTTGAATATCTCAGTGATAACATCTGTGACCGCGTCAATTGACACTATGACGTGTGTTCAATCTCAGAAATGGACACGAGTTCCTTAAAGGTTTCAGACACACATCGAAGAGAATTGCCTCTGCATCAAGCCAAAGACTAGACGTATGACACTGGTTATTATCTGGTGACCAGTTAAAGTAATCTGATATGTCATGTGTTCCACGTGAAATCAGCTGAAAGAGTCGTCATCAGTCTGTTAAGAGCTTCCATCACAGATATTATTCCCTAGGGGGTATTTACTGCCAGTGTATGTTTGGATTATTAAACTAGAAGGCTATATGAGATAAAGAGATTCCTTAGTCAGTCAGAGATGTTCTTTAGGAACAGAGGTAAAGTGGTTAGAAACATGGGTCTTATTCTCTTCAAAATTAGTTGCAGTGGTGGGGGAGGGGAAGTGGGCTTTTTCCTGAAATGACAAGAATAACATTGGGTAAAGTGGATCAATTTTCAAAATCTTGAGTAAAAAGTGAGAAAAGTAGCTTCTTTGTTGTATGAAAACGTAGACGAATCGGATACAGCTGGGTATTTGATGTTTTGGGAAAATGAAGGAAAAAAGGGGAATGTCAGTGATGACATGGATGAATGCCTTCAACCTATTCCACCAGATTGTAAGCTGATTAAACGCAAGTGAATACAATGTAATGGTTGAGATTTCACCTTGTATACTCAATTAAACAGGGTCAGTCATTCTCGGTCCAGCTAAATTTTCGTGTTCCGATGATTGCACTGATATTGATCTACTGATCTGACCAATGTAAGTGAATTCATAGTCATTACTTAGTATCAGGAAAATCATATTATTATTTTTCTTGATTGAATCTATTGGATTTGTAGGTAAAAAAGGTTTTCTCCAAGTGAATTAGTTGGTTCAAATGCCAACCTGATTCCAGCGTCACTGAGAATTCCAGGTAAGGCCTCTGACGTCTCTTCTTTATTTGACAGTACTACAGAGGCGTTAAGTAATTCTTTAGTGATATTTTTTTCTTTACTTGTTTGATTTCATTATTGAAATCCTCTGGCTCATTAGTCAGGCTTCTGACCCGATTATTCAGACTTTTGACTAAACCAATCTTTACCCATTCTGCATAGAATGAATCGATGTCTAAGTGCTTATCACAGTGTGTCAGTTTCCTAAAACTCCTAGTATCCAACCCACCATCTTGTTTTCGTTTCATTCTAAAGTCTAGCATGAACACCTCACCATGTTCGTTTTCTGACTCAAGAGTGAACTGGATTCCATCCACTACTGAGTTTGTGCTTGGAGAACTGGGGTATTGTGTCCAGAACACATATGCCCATACTGCATCACTCTGTGTGTCATTTCACATAAACGTATCTGATATGTAATTGCATTCTGCCACTGAGCACAGGTTCTATATTTACTTTAAAAGCATTTGATCATGCCTTTTCTAGGGTCAAAAATTAGTAAATCAACAAGTTCTCTAGGCATTTCATGTTAACAGGCAATGAAATTAAATGCTTCTTTCAAATTATCGTCACTTACATTTCGATATGACTAGTTCAAACATCAATGTTGGAATTGATCGAATGAAAATAAAATACACTCACATAATTCACTTACTACAAGCATGTTCTTGTGGTACATAAATAGTTCCTGATGGACAAATACACGCACCAGCTCCTGGATGACAAATACTATTGTTGACGTGTTTACAGTCACCATCCAACTGGCATTTATGATTTGTTAGAACTATAATTAAAAGACAAAAGTACATGGACACATTTGAAGACTGTGATGTTAAGTAAACGAGTAATCATCATCAGGGTAACAAAATTTATAAAAAATAATCAAGGTTGCAAAAGTTTCACAACAATCAAACTAGAAACCTTCACGTCTGGGAGGCAAACATCAGGGATACAAAAGTTTTGTAATTCGTTTAAGCACGTCAACAGTTAGGCTACTAGAGTCGGACCAAATGATGCAGCTGTTTTAACGTCTGTGGATAGATGGCGATAGAGTATGACAAATACTCGAGATCGTTGGTGAGTTTCTCACCTCTCATCTGACCTAGAATTAAGGTTATTCATCCTAAAGTCAGTCATTGGGAAGTGATAGATTGTGCTTTTGAGAAATTAGCAGCAGTCAAAGATTTCATGAGGTGGTTCTTATGTTTTTGTTGTGTTTAAAAGAGGGAAGAGCCTTCCAGCTTTAATAATTCTAAACAGATTAGATCAGTCTGATAAGGTCTGTCTGAGCCTGCTATCTTTTTTGTTGTTCGCTTCTTCATCATGTACGTTTTCGTGGATAATACATACGAGTTTTAAAGGGGAATGGCTTTTATCTAGTTCCACTGATAAGTGACTTCAAACAATCCATCATGCCTGTGCCGCAGAAATGAATTTTCATTTACGCTCTTAAGCATTAAAAAATTAGTGATTGTGCAGCACTATCATTATTGTTTTTCTTATGATCACCTTTAGTTATGAGAGGGGCAGAGGGCTTCAACAGCAGGCCTCAATTTTGTCTGGTACTCGCTTTTCCTCTTAAGCTAGGACCCACCATTACCCATTAGCTTCTGTCTCCTCCCGACACGATCTCCTCCATATCACCCTTGGGACACGCTCAATTCATCATTTCATATTCCAGTTCCACTACAGTGAAGGCGTGGTGCGCGATGTCATTCGACGATCTCCTCAGCATGTGTCTAGTCTGTCAGCATCTAATTGTACACGCTTGTTGAACAATGAATCGTTGATTGCTTCGTTTCAGGAGTGTCTTCTTACAAGTCCTTTCTTGCTCGTCATGTGATCCACAATATCGGGCCACTGAAGGCAGTTATTGATGAAAGTCTGCAGAAGCTTGTTGTAGAGGCTTTCTGTGGTGCACATAACAAGTTTGTAATCCTTGTAGAAAATCCCGCCAAGCATCGGTGTTCAAAATCTGAATTCCCTTCCTTTCACTAAGTGCAACAGTTTTGCGAACTGATTTAAGATAGATGAAGGTCTGCCTTGCCTTTCCAATTGTCACCGACTTTGACAACCACACCAATAGCACCGGTAATGGAAACAGTGTTTCTTAGAATTGTGTAGGGATCAACCTCTTTCAAATTTATTCTTTGAATAGTGACTGGTACTTGCTGTTGCTGGTTAGTCATCCTCATCACTTCCATTTTCTCTAAGTCCACTTGAAGTCGTGTTATTTCTGCCTGTCTCTTCTGCCGATTTGCTGGCTCTCACCTTTAAGTCTTAGAGTTTGTTTGACATAAGGCATAAATCATTCTCGCACAATCTTCCGCATAATTCAGTCCACCACAATTAGAAAAATCACCATGGGTGTTAGTAGACAGTATTGCCTGTCTAACAACTGGCTGAGCTTTCCGATATGCATCATATGACACTTGTAGTCGTCGAATAGCTGTTGAATAGGGTTGAGAAAGATTAAAGGCACGTTTATTTTAAGCAGTATTATTAATAGCAAAAACGGCAGGCAGTCCCCTTAAGAGATATCGTGGAGTCGGTTTACTCGCACTATCTACTGATCTATCTGCACGTCAGTTTTACTTGCCTTGTTTGACTAAGTTTCGTCTCGACTTGATTTGATGAATCTATGACAAATGTGGCTTGGATATCAGCTACGAGATGAGATTCTCATTGGAATGACTTATCAAGTGATTACTTATCAGAATTCCATTTCAGATAAGGTGGAAGTGGTTGTAAATTATAGTCAGCCACTAGTTCGCTTACAAATCCTGGTGAGTTTATAGCTTAAAATAAGAACCACCTGGACTCAACAACACTTCGAAACCTCCGGGAAATACACAACATAACTCGCCTAACATCCTACAGGTTATGAATTCTCGATCTTACCGTCATGCAGTATTGTCCCAAATTGTGACCGTATTACCCGCACAGTAAGCTGAATTAATCGCTATATCCCTGCTTCTAGCATTCTTAGTTCGAAATCGATCGGATTTTATGTTCCATCAATCAATTCCCAAACATTATTGTCATAGGTCCTCTAAATGTCGAGGCCAATCATGAAAGAGGTTCTATGAGGTTTAGTTCTTTTAGGCTGTGTATATTGAAGTTGCATGACGCTTTTATTGCATGTGTATCCTTTCATGTTACGAGTTCTCTGTCAATTCAGTGCTTATGATAGTTTCAAATTTAGCATTGGTTGATCTTTTGGTAGTCCTAATAGCAAACTGTTTGTCATCTGTCCGGGCATTTGACTTGTTAACGTCATCAAATATGATTCCAACAGTTAAACGTTAGACAATGCTAGTGGTTCAGTCTTATCTGAGTAAGTAATTTATGGTACTAAGTATATCATAAATTGTGAACTTAATATTTTTAGTTTCGAGAGGAATTATTGTAATATTTATTTTATTCCTCTACGTTCTCAGTGAAACATAGGGCTTCAAGCTAGTGCTTTGAAGTTTCGAATTCAGTGGCGTTTATTTTTACGGTATGGGGTTGCAAGCCTCATGCCCGACCTTCCCTCTTTATCGGCCTTATTCCTGACCTAGCGAGGTAAAGGAATGCATCAGACAAAGATCGAACCCCGAACGACATGAGGCATGGTTGGCGAGCATTCTACCGCTGTGCCACCTACGTACTAAGAAAACTGTCGTGAAATCTCCCCTCGAACTCTGTAAATTGAAAATAATGTATCCGATTTTACGTATCACCAGCTCGTCCAAGCAGCTAACCAGATTTCGATCACTTGAACTCATTCAGCTCTGTCGCACTGATTCATATGCAGTAAACCACTGTTACCATCAGTCTAGAATAAGTGGAACGGCCGTCCAGTGCTTGCGCTGGTCTGAGAACACTACTGGTTGATATGAATGGTATCTGACTACTGACTCCGATAAATCAGTAGTATATGAGGTTATAAGTTTATCAATATTTGATTTCCTAAGACGAAGAAGCGTTTTCTTAAGCCTTAGGGATTAGATTCTCGTGATATTAAGCAGAAATAGTTCAAGAAAGTAATTTATAATACAACGGAAAGGGCATGTACATTATAATAAGAGTGAGATATGTTTTTTTTTATTACAGCTTGATTCCACACTTCATTTTTGGTACAAGTATGAAATTTTCAGCATGTGATATCGGTAGCCAAAATTTTGCAGGCCGACCATAGATATTAGGTGTGCGTCGGCAGGGGATCGAACCTCGGATCATGTGCCTGGTAGGCGAGAATCCTAACCACTGTGCCACTAAGAGTGACTTGCGTGGTTTCTTAAATAGATAGATCACTCTGCATTTGTCGTTAGCTTTTCTGCTGACTCATGAGAATGAGTATAATTTCTGCATATTTAGGCTGCATTTTTATGCTTTTTGACAATCATAGAGTCCCTCCAAAAGTTCTCTGTGTCAATAATCCACTAGGCTCGTTTCTCTTTTACTGTGTTTATGGGATCTGTCTTTCTCTCTTTCACACTTGCAGAATTGTTTAAACGAATATCATCCAACGCATTTTTTCCATGATGTTATATTTTATGGATAGCTAATTTTTTCCTACTCACCGCTTTCTGGTTGAAAACCACTGGTAACAAAATTCATAGTCTCAAAACCAATTCCATGAAAGTTATTCTCTATGAGAGAGAAACTTTTAACACACATTAGTTTGTTTATTAGATGAATCACACAGTGGAGTGACAGTACTATTTACTGGATGACAATATTTCGAACAAAATTTATTGTTCGTAATCATATCAATTTTAATCACACGACTTTCAAACTTGAGTTTTATATTTTTTTTGTCCTCCTCTCCTATTTGTCGTCCTTGGGGTAGTAGAATTCTTCAGATATCTTGAACAGGTGTTAATTCATCCCTATTACACGTATCTGCAGTTGATTTGATAAACAAAGCTTCTATTATCAATCTCCCCCTCCCTCCAACCTGTGACATTAGATTTTAAAACTGTCATCCTATCCCATCCTATTGTATGGTTTAATAATAATAGTTTGCTCTATTCCAAAACAGTACTTGTGATACAAAATGGAATTCTCAGCATTTCATTACAGTATCGCATCCGGTTAGTACATTAACAATAAATAAAATTCTACATAGATTATGGGTAATCTCAGTTAGTTTTGACAACAACGTATTAGCATGTCAGTACCAAAGCCAAAATTAAACAGAGTGTTAGAAGGTGTAAGAGAAGTAGGTTCTAGCATATTTACTGGCGTAAACAGAAGAAAGAAACAAAGCAGCACATATCAGAGAAAGAAAAAGAGAGAGAGAGAAAAGGAAAAGAAAGAAAGAAAACGTTGTACCTATAAATGATATGAGTTGGAAAGACCAGATCCACTTGTTCTACTCACTATTTAATAAGTCATAAGTTTCACGCCTAATGCTTTCTTTACCACACAGAACACAAGCTAAGTAGGGTATGGTTGAGTTTTTGTACTTACTAGTGCGAGCAAATAGTTTTCTACATAGGCTTCTGGTTTTCCTGAAGACATACAAGGAGGGAATTGTGAATGAAGAGGGTGGTGGTGTGAGTTAGATGGATAGAATGGATTTAGCCCATATTTCACATGAGTTCAAGTGCCTGTCGACCAGAATATTATCAAGCTGGTTAAGTGTCACGAAGCTTACCCTGCTGACAACCTTTAACACCCTAAGTAATAAGATATACTCCTTCTTCAGTAGCCCTGGAAAAACTAAGGGTGGAACAATAGAGAATAATAGGCAGGATGCAAGAGTTAACGAATCTTAGGAGTAAGGGTTGGGTT